AGAGAGAACAAAAGCGAAGAAAAGGAAAAAGAAAAAAGAATAAGAAAATCTTTTAAAATTAAGAGAAGAAAAAAAGAAAGAGAAAGACAAGAAAGGAAAGAAAGAAGAAAGGAGGAAGCTTCAAAATAAATAGATTGACCAAGAAAAATTTCCTTAATTAGCGGAGGTGCCTATTTTAATACTCTCTTCCTCTTTCCCCCCCCTCTCTCTCTTCTTTCTTTCTTTCTTTCTTTTTTCTCTCTCTATTTTTCTCTCTCTCTCTTTCTCTCTTACAGAAAGACTAATATAACATAACACTTCAGTATTTGTTAGTTTCTAACGATATTTTCCCTGTTTCTTAATAATTTGCTTAGATTTTAGGAAGCATCTTTCGCTATCACTGCCGACACTGGAGTTTGAACACAGATCACCAGTGAGCAAACACAGGCGATCCCATTTTGAATAAGTAGATTGCGTGATGGCAAAGGAAATGTATATAAGGGAATTAGCGTGGTGTCTAAACGATCACTATTTCTACATTATCCTCTATTACTATACGAATCACTATTTCTATTCTATCCTCTATCTCTAGACTATTCACTATACTATTTCTCTTTAATGATCACTACACAGATCATACAAACTAATCCTAACCATGTCGGTGTTAAAAAAAAACCCATTGAGGTATTGATATGCCGTAAGGCAAAATAAACCAAATGTAACCTATTCTGTTACTATAGTCCACAGAGATCACCTTTTCCTGGCAATACCAACGTGATGTCTCTCACCACAACAGCCGCCTCTCTATGTCGGCTCATAACAAGGGCAAACGTTTCCTGAAAAATGCTAAGTTGTTCGCTGAGAGCCCGAGTATTATATAGGAATAAATTGTCGCTGCCGACACTGGAGTTTGAACACAGATCACCAGAGAGCAAACACAGTCGATCCCATTTTGAATGAGTAGATCACGTGATAGTAAAGGAAATGTATATATGGGAATTAGCGTGACGTCTAACTGATCGTTATTTCTAGTCTATCCTCTATTACTATACGGATCACTATTCTCTATACTATTCATTATACTATTTCTCTATATTGATCACTATACGGATTACTATTCAGTGGTTACTATTCGAGCGAGACTTATCGAGCAAGTACTATTAGTGCGTGTGTTATTCAAAGGTGACTGACGCCAGTATTGTTCAATAGTATTTTACTATAGTCATATCTGCAATTACAAAGTCTCTACTACAACGAGCAATACGAAAATGACAACGCATATTCGTTGACATTACAAAAATGGCAACGAGTGTTCGTTGACATAACAAAACCGAGATAGGCATAGCCTGTCACAAGTTAGGGTCTAGCAACTACCAATCGAATATGACTGTGGCTCCAATGAATCCTGTAATGACTTCTAATTCTCTCAGAATCACCTCACTCTACAATCTGTATAAATCCAGTGAGAAGGCTCATCTTTGTCTTACACTGTTTATATTTTTGTATATTTACTGAATTCCTTTTCTGTATTTATGAAGGCGGTTTGCAGCTTGTATAGGTTCTGGATTATTTTAATAACCTTCTCAAATATATCATCGTCCTCAATATGGCTATGAAGATGAGGATAATAGGCCCAATAATGTAAATAATGCAAGTAATCATAATACCTCATCTCAGAGATATAGACAGATATATAGAGAGACATAGACATCAAAGCCGGAGCGTACAACAGCTGAAACATTGTGAATGTGGCAATGAAGATGAGGATAACAGTTCGAATAATGCAAATAATATAAATAATCATAATACCTCATCTCAGAGATATAGACAGATATATAGAGAAACATAGACATAAAAGCCGGAGCATACAACGGCCGGAGCGTACAACTGCCGAAATATTGTGAATATGACAATGAAGATGAGGATAACAGTCCGAATAATGTAACTAATACAAGTAAATTGGTTTCTTACAGAGAATACATATTCTCTTCATACGAACTTATCCTAAAGATCATGTCAACATTAAATAACCAACTGAGTTATTGATATGCTGTTAAACAAAATAAACCAAAGCCAACCAAATTAGATATATCATAGTTAGCTAGCAGTTCCTACGGTTTCTTTGAGAGAAACTCGTACAAATAGAAAATGCGAAAAAATAATATGGTAAAATATGAAAAGGAAAGAAAGGACATTTTTGGCGTTCCTCAAATTATTCATATTTTCATATTCTTCCCGATCTCGGCATTCCGACATATTTTTTTTATTTATTTTTTTTGTTGTTGTTGTTGCTTTTTCCGATTTCATGTATTGCACGCTGACAAGTGGATGCCTAATATGGGAAAGATTTGTCGAAGACTGATAGAAAAAGTGCGACGAATTCCTGATGTGAAGAATTTAGGGAAAAGGAAAGACGCAGAGATGGAAAGAAACAGAAGAAGGGGTAGGAGAAAAAAAAGGAGGAGGAGGAGAAAAGAAGAAAAAAAATAATGAAAAAGAAGAAGATGATGAAGAAAAAGAT